TCTCAAACCATCTGCGTACTGTGCGTTCATTAGCTACATCCTTCCCAAACGCTTCATTAATATTTCTAGCTGTCTGTGCTGCATTGGTTCCTTGAGGGAACTCATATTTGAAAATAACACAAATTTTTGACTTATCCATGGTTTCACAAAAATTGCTCTAAAAAAAATTTGATAGATAATCACAAGCTGGGCCGTGTATTTGTAAGACTGAGGATGTACCTTCACAATAAAAATAAGACAAGAAATATCAAAGTGAAACATCGGAGATATCAATTGTCAAACTTAGTACTTAAGGAAATCAGACATTTCATACTTAATAGCCTAACATTCATATAATAGAATATTATTTAGCCTTAAAAAAGAATGAAGTACTGATATATGCTAGAATGTGCATGAGCCTCAAAAACATTATGCTACATAGAGTTTACATCATCTACTGTCTAAATCATATAATCAAGACAAGTAACTTTTATCTGTTCTTCATGTTGAATTTACCCTTGTGAAGAGAGAGGTCATGAAATACTCATTGTGCTAAGAAGCCAGACAAAAAGGCCATGTATAATAAGATTCCTTTTATATGAATTGTCCAGAAAAGGCAAATTTATAGAGACAACAACCAGAATAGTGGTTACCTAGGTCTAGAGGTGGGAGGTGAAAACTGATTGCACATCATGGGCATTCGAGATTTTTTTCAGGTAATGAAAATGTTCCAAAATTGGCTTTTGGTGATGTTGATGCAACTCTTTAAATTTTACTAAAAATTACTGAATTATACACTTAGGCAAATTTTATGTTATGTACATTATACCTCAATAAAGTAATCTTTTTTAAAAACTCTACATGGATTTCAACTGTTTATATCTCCTAAATACTATTCCTTTAATCTCTGATGTCTTAAAAATGATGAAAGTTTTCTCTAATAATTCCTGCTCTGCAACAAATTTTTTAACTTCCAGTCAATTTTTAACAGGTTGTGGAAGCTAATTATCAGAAGTTTGGGGCCGGGCACAGTGGCTCACGCCTGTAATCCTAGCACTCTGGGAGGCCGAGGTGGGTGGATCGTTCAAGGTCAGGAGTTCAAGACCAGCCTGAGCAAGAGCGAGACCCCGTCTCTACTAAAAATAGAAAGAAATTAATCGGACAACTAAAAATATATAGAAAAAAATTAGCCGGGCATGGTGGCACATGCCTGTAGTCCCAGCTACTCGGGAGGCTGAGGCAGAAGGATTGCTTGAGCCCAGGAGTGTGAGGTTGCTGTGAGCTAGGCTGACGCCATGGCACTCACTCTAGCCCGGGCAAAAGAGTGAGACTCTGTCTAGAAAAAAAAAAAAGAAATCAAGATGACAATTTTGATAGAGTTTCTTTCATTCCACAATAACCCAATGAGTTGATGTAATCAGGCAAAATGAATGATCTAATGACTCAGGCTGTAATACTACCTTACAAAGCTCTAATGATTCTAAAGCCCCTAAGTCTGCTGAAGAACTAAAAATACCATCTGTCAAATAAAATGATTTATATATTCTCTGGTATGCACAGTATAAATCATTGTCTAACTCTGGCATGGTACCCACTTTTGCATCCTGGGTTTTTAACTCTTTTTTTCCTTCTTCACATAGAGAAAAAGATTTTACATTGCTCTTCACTAGACTTGTTTTTTCTTTTCAAAAATACAGTGCCAATCTTTTTCCTCATATTTCAGGATTAAAGTCTTCTTCAAATTCATCTACTACCTAAAACATATAACCTAGACAAGTAACTTCTATCAGTTCTCCACATTGAATTTGCCCTTGTGAAGAGAGAGGTCATGAAAAACTCATTCTGACAGTTTATTTCTCTGTCGACCAGGTACATTCTTAATTAGTTGCCCTCCCTCCATTTACTATTCCATTTCCAAGTCTCACCAGTGGCTTTCAGAAGTACCTGGCTTAACTTAGGTGGTATTTGATCCACAAGAGCCCTTACGGTAGGTCACATTCCATTATTATTCCCAACCAATCTTTTCTTCCTTTCTTTCTTTTTTCTTTTTTTTAAGAGACAGGGTCTCTCTTGGTTGCCCAAGTTGGAATGCAGTGGCCTCATCATAGCTCACTGCAGCCTCCAACTCCTGGCCTCAAGAGATTTTCCTGCCTTGGCCTCCCAAAGCACTGGGAGTACAGGTATGAGCCAGCATGCCTGGCCTCAATCTTAAAAAAGAGAAAAAAGGTTCTCTCAATCTGTGTTTTAGAGCATGAACCTTCGAATTATAAATGTATACATATGTAAGTATACTTACAAATAGAAAAATAAAAATAAATGCAAAGATAAGTGTCAATTTTTAGGCTTCAGTTTCATTTCAAGCATCTTCTTTCCCATATATTTCTAAATATTAAATTCTGGGAAAATGCAGTTACAATTGAATACTCATTACATTCATTAACATGCATGTAGGTAGTTTTTTGTTTTGTTTTATTGTTTTTGTTAAAAAGGAAGACAACTCTTGGCCAGGCATGGCAGCTCACACCTGTAATCCCAGCACTCTGAGAGGCTGAGGCAGGAGGATTGCTTGAGGTCAGGAGTTTAAGACGAGTCTGAGCAAAAGCAAGACCTCATCTTTACTAAAAATAGAATAAATTAGCCAGGGATGGTGGTGTGTGCCTGTAGTCCCAGCTACTCAGGAGGCCGAGGCAGGAGGATTGCTTGAAACCAGGTTTCAGTGAGCTATGATGATGCCACTGCACTCTAGCTGGGGCAACAGAGCAAGACTCTGTCTCAAAAAAAAACAAAAAAACAAAACCAGACAACTCTTATCCAGGCTAACAAGGGTCTATTTAAGTTAAAAATTAAATCAGAGTAATTTCAACAAATGTCTATTGAACACCCACTACTTAACAGGCCCTGGAATATGTAGGAACAAATAAGGAACAATTCCCACCTTCAAGGAGTTCATAGGCTGTTGGCAGAGAATGAACCACAACACTATACATAATTTAGATTGGATTGGGATAAGTACCACAATATTTTAAAAAACCAAAGAAGCCCATGGCAACAGAGGTGGCAATTGGGAATATCTGGAAAAGCTTTCAAAGAATTAACCTGATAAAAAGAAAGTAATGCTGGAATGACCAGAATTACTGGAATAGAAGGAGAAGGACATATTGGGAGACCAGACTGAAGTTTGATGTTTGATTAAGATAACAACACTAGCTAATATTTATTGAGCATTTACTATGTGTCGAGTTACACAGACATGGCTAAAAGTTATGGAGCCAGAATCTTGAAATCCATAAATAATAAAAAGGATCAAATTCTGTCTCACCCCAAACACACTAATTGTAAAGCACTTATCTGCCTCTTGTCTCACGAATTCCTAGGCCATCCTTCAAGGCCTAGCTCAAATACTACTTTCTCTGCAACACCTTTCTTGATCCTCCCAGCTGAACATAATCTCTTTCTAAGCTTTATACCATCTTATCTGTATCAATCTTATGGCCTGTCAGAATATTTTGTTCCTGGCATTACAGATTTTATGTGCATGATTTCCTTTTTCATTCTCCTTTAGTCTGATCCAGTGTCTATGCTCCAGAACTTCTAGGAGAGTGCGTGGCACATAATAACGCTACCAAAATCTATGGAACACTTATTCTTTGCAAGGCATTTTGCTAAGCATTGTACAGGAATTATCTCACAAAATCCTATCGGCAACCTAATTCACACATTCAATAGCTATTCTGGTTAGCTCTTACTGTGACAGATAAAGTACTAGATGCGCCTTAAACTTTGTAAACAAGACAGATAGGACGCCTGTTTTCTAGAGGCTCACAGCCTAGAGAGGTTGGTACTATTGGTATCCCAGGCATAGAGATGAGGAAAAGTGAGGCTCAAAGAAGTAATTTGTTCGCTCGGAATCACACAGCAAAAAAGTGGCAGAGCCAGAATTCAAACCAGCTCTCCAGACTGGATATTCAGGATCCCATGGATGTGACCACTAAGTTCTAAGGGAGGCACTTGATAAACACTTACTGAAGGAAATACTCCCAAAATGAAAAATCCTCTCAAGGATAATGAAGGGTTTCACTCACTGTTATCCTTTTTATGAGGGGAAAGCAGGAAATTAGCACAAGTAAAAGTACAGATGGAGGTTGTAACAGTATCCTAATACTCACCTGGTAGCTCATAACTGTTAATAAGCCATTTGTTGAGTCTGAGTATTTCTTTATGTCCCTTAAAACGACCCCAGTAAGCAGGGTGCCTTAAAGTGGGTCCTCTTGAGCATCAGTGCTTTGCTGGGCGCTGGGTAGTGTAGTTGAGTCTCTAATTAGCAGTGAGAGTTTGGGCTACATCTCCCACCAAATAACCAGCGGAGTAGAGTGAAAGATAAGGATTCACAGTTCCTTACTTAAACACGGTGCAATATTCTTGAAAGGGACTCGAACCCCAAGACAAGATGTGTGAATCCGTACTTCCCACTGGAGGGGTGAGGCACTCCTCAGGCGCCCTCTGCCCCCGAGGGTCAGAAACATCTGCCCTCCGCCTGAGGGCCCCGCCTCGGTCTCTCTCCATCCCGAGCTGTCATACCAAACTCCCTTCTCCAAAGGCCACCTTGTCAGCCACATTGTTTGGCTTAGCCCAATCACCTCCTCAAAGAACAGTAGGAGTAACCATACCCCAAAATATAGACCAAGCAGAAAGAGGCGCAGGAGGCACTTGTCTTATTCCCCACAATGTTTTAGCCCAACAGGAGACCGCCTGACTTTACTCCAGGTTCAATAAGTTAAGCAGCGGAGAAGACCTCTGAAGGCCAGTCCGCTGCCCAAGGACTCCTCGGACAGCGCGGGCACCGCCCCCAGCACGCCCCCCGCGCTCCGCAGTCAGCCAGGCAGCGCGCGCAGGGGCCGCAGCCAGACGCGCTCTCCCGCCACCACGCCCCTCCCCGCCCTCTGCCAATGGCCTGTTGCGCCGGCGCCGCGAGCTCCAGGCCCAGCCCTCCCTCGAGGTGAGAGCGCTGAGCGCATGCGCCTCGGAAGCGGGCTGGGTGAGGGGTTCCCGACCCAGAGGAGGGGGAGGAGGAGGCGGAAGTGGACGGGGAGAGCTGGGCACCGAATGGAGGGCACTTTGGGGGAGGAGGGGGAGCTGTGTTATCCTGGGCGGCCGAGGCCGGGGCTCCCACCCGGAGCTTGAGCGGAGTCGCGGTGACCCGGCTCACCCGCCGGCGTTTGTCTGTATGTGCCCACCCAGGGAGACATGGAGAACTGTTTGGCGGCCGCGGCGCTGAACGGGGTGGACCGACGTTCCCTGCAGCGCTCGGCTAGGCTGGGTCGAGAAGTGCTGGAGCGGGCCAAGAGGAGGGCGGTGGACTGGCAGTCGCTGGAGTGTCCCAGAGGCAGCATGGGGCTTTTTTCCCGGGAGATGCCCCACCAGGAAAGACGGCCCGCAGCCGTCCCCCAGCGCCGTCTCCAAGGAGAGGTGGGGCCGCTGTGCTGGGGACCAGCCCTGTCATTGGCTCAGCGGGGACCTGCCGGGACTGGAAAGGATCAGGACAATGAATAGAAAAGTCCTTTGAAAACTCTTTACATTTGAGTAGCTGTAGAATAACGGTAGTGCTCAGCCTTGGTTGGTTACTTTTTTTAAAAAAATTTTTACATGCTACCATCTGATATCAGAGGAAGGCTGGCAAACGTTATCTTTTAGGTCCTGGATAAATTGTGTGTCTGTCTTTCAGGGTTGGAATTCTTTCTCAATAAGATCTGTCTTACTGACTTAAACTTGCAGAGGCCTTTCCAAAAGTACAAAGGGTGCTGTTCCAAAATGGCTTCATTCTCCAGTAGGGAATCCTAGATCTCACCTGTGACTTGCCATTTATTCAAATAGAGAGAAGAAAGACACCCAACCCTTAGTGCTTCCTTCAGAACAATGGCTGAATTCATGGACTATACTTCAAATCAGTGTGGGGTAAGTTGGTGTGAACCAAAGCTATGCCCCTGTCACCTACTGATGGATCACAATGTGGTTCTTTCTATAATTTAGGGAGAATCTAGAGGCTACCTGTTTCCCTTGCCCTGCCTTCATGGGCAGATTGTAATCAGTCAAGGACTTAAACTGGGTGGTAAATCCAACTTAGAATTCATCCAACAAATGTTTACTCATTACCTAACTCTGTAATTGTTGAGGATACAGCAGCAAACAAGCCAGAAAATTTCTCTGCTCTCATTGAGTTTTCAGAATAGTGGGGAAAAAAATAGCTTATTTGCTGATTTTTTTTTTCTTTTTTTGAGACAGAGTCTCATTCTGTTGCCCGAGCTAGAGTGCTGTGGGGTCAGCCTAGCTCACAGCAACCTCAAACTCAAGAGATCCTCCTGCCTCAGCCTCCTGAGTAGCTGGGACTACCACCACCACACCTGGCTATTTTTAGTAGAGACGGGGGTCTCTTGCTCAGGCTGGTCTTGAACTCCTGAGCTCAAGGGATCCTCCCACCTCAGCCTTCCAGAGTGCTAGGATTACAGGCCTGAGCCACGGGATTGGCTCTTATTTACTGAATTCTAAAGCAGTTAAGTCGAATATTAAGTTTTTTGTTTCTTAGCTTTGAACTTAAAGTTTAGGATCACTCTAAACTAGAACCGAGCCTCTCTGTTTTCAAAATACGTTGAAACAAAATCTCTACATTAGCTCTTAACCTCTAATGTTTGTTTCAAATCCCTGGTAACGTAGTTTTTAAGTGTGTCCCCAATTGGTCCATATCAGTGGTTGATGACAAAGATGGTTCTGTGGAACAGATGCAGCGCCCTGGTCAAGGGTAGTACGGTTTAATGGCAGGAGCAGCTTCCCAGGAGTCAGACCCATGATCTGCCACTTACTGGCTGTAATGCCTTGGGCCAGTTAGTCTTTCTCAGCCTTACCTAAGGCATGTCACCAGAAGAATGAGAAGTTGGGGAGGACACAAAGCGAATGATGTATTTTAGCTTCCTTGTTATTAAATTAAGATTTTTTTTTTTTCCAAGAGTAACACTAAATTAAGATTTCTGAAGTCCTTTACAGCCTTTACAGTCTGTTTTTTTGGTTTCCATTGAGAGGCAAACACCAGCAAATTATTGTAAACTGTAGCATGAGTGATTTAAGTGAGATTTTTTTTGTACCATTCATTGAAATGGGTGAACAAAGGTTTTTAAGTCCCTCATTTCAAATTCGTACACTTAGATCATCTTTAAGTACTTCGAAGGAATGTTGAAGGCAGACCAGCCAACATCCAAGGAAATTACCTGCATGGAAGGTGTTCTCAATCCTAGGAATTATAACAGACTGGTCTCTTCTAGTCTTAACATTTTGTCAGTCCTATGTGGTTGTGAGGATGTTGGTCTATAATGAGGATGTTGTCCTCTTTCTCAGTTTCGTATGTTTCAGATCTCAAGAAACTCTAATCTTTCTACGTCTTTTATAAAAATCCCTGTGACTCAAAGAATAGGATTCTAACCAATGAGATATGATTCAGAGAATATTTTTATGTTCTTATTTGTACTAAGTGGTTTTAGAAGAACGATAACTTCAGCCCTACTGTAAAGTGATTAACTTAAACACTTGGTTCATGGTTCAGTAAAAGAAATAATATTTGTCTTTGGCTTGAGGTTAGCAAATTGGTGTTCTTCTTTCTGGTTGTCAGTTCATGCTTCAGTTCAAGGTTCTATTGTGGAATGAAGCCTCAGAACCCTTTGGCTTTCTAGAGATGGAATTAAGAGATAGTGTTCTGGGTTTGCCTCTACAGTTTTGAAGCAGCCTCTAAAATATATCATTAGATCTGTGCCCTGATGTGCTTTTTCCCAGCTTCTCATTCTTCTGGTCACATATTTCAGACACTGTCCCTACAATATGTTCAAAACAAGCAGGCTTGTGATGTCCTCATCATTAGTCATAATCAAGGGCAAGTCTAATGTTAACTCGGAGGGGAAGAAAGGAAGTAGACAAGAAAAATGTAACTTTTCTGATCCTTTGGGTCATTCTTCTTAAACTGGAGACCTCTCCCTTGACTCCCCCGTATGGGAAGCATGGGGATAAGGGCTGCGTAGCTCTTGGGTTTATGTTTTATTTCCTGCTATATTTCTACATCTCAAGGAAATGCACCTCTCTCTTCCTGTGTCCTTGTCTGAGTCTTAGACAGTAAACATGGAACTGTTCATCAGACTTTGTCAGGGGAGGAAATGAAAGGATATGTATGTTTGATATTGGGGTGAAGATGTGAAAATTGTTTAACCTGGCAGAGAGCATGGTCCTGCCCACCTTTACTTGGCCAGAGTTCTTGCCCTGCAGAGGCAGCAGATGGCAGCAAAGTAATGCCAAATGCTGTTTCCTTTTCTGCAGCCACTTTCTATGGGCTAAGATTTGTTATGTGACTTCAGAGGCCTGTCAAAAGGACAGGTAATTTACCTTTGCTCTCCTGCCTCCCTCCTTAACCACACTTTGCCCAAGTCTCAGAGGGTTTTTTGAAAATTTGACAAGACTATTTGGTTACCCATCTTTCACGTTACTTCTCTAGAAATATTATTCATCTGTGCCAGAGGAAGGAGGGGCAACCCATGTCTATCGTTATCACAGAGGGAAGTCGAAGCTGCATACATGCTCAGACACAGGGACCGGTCAGGTATGTATCTCACCTGTCCTACACTGTGCCCTCAGCCTACTAAGATAGGACACCTTATATTCGGGAGCCCCTGCTAGACTTTCTGCTACTGGATGCTGTGTGACTTGGCATTATAGTGCTCAACAGAAATGTGTAAATTTGCAGCTTTAGAGAACTTAGAAGAATGAACGTAAATAGGAGTTTGTCTAAAATATAAGATTGATGCCACCATAGTATCTTCAGTTGAACCTGTAATCCTGGGCCATGGGATTCTTGGGCAGGCTTTAAGAAAAGAGCTTCAGGCGGGCACTTTGGGAGGCCAAGGTGGGAGGATCACTTGAGGCCAGGAGTTTGAGATCAGCCTGGGCAACATAGCAAGACCCTGTCTCTACAAAAAATTTAAAAATTAGCCAGAGATGGTGGCTTGCCTCTAGTCCCAGCTACTCAGGAGGCTGAGGCAGGAGGATTGCTTGAGCCCAGGAGTTTGAGGCTGTCGTGAACTAGAATCATGCCACTGCACTCCAGCCTGGGTGACAGAGTGAGACCCTATCTCAAAAAAAAAAAAAAAGCTTCCAAGCTGGGCATGGTGGCATTCACCTATAGTCCCAACTAACTTGGGAGGTAGAGGATCACTTGAGGCCAGGAGTTTGAGGCTACAGTGCGCTATGAGCATACCTGTGAATA